TGGGACATTTCTGCAGCTAACACAGGAGATGTGGGACATTTCTGCAGCTAACACAGGAGACGTGGGACATTTCTGCATTAATACAGGAGGCGTGGGACATTTCTTCAACTAACACAGGAGACGTGGGACATTTCTGCAGCTAACACAGGAGGCGTGGGACGTTTCTTCAACTAACACAGGAGACGTGGGACATTTCTGCAGCTAACACAGGAGGCGTGGGACATTTCTTCAACTAACACAGGAGACGTGGGACGTTTCTTCAACTAACACAGGAGACGTGGGACATTTCTGCAGCTAACACAGGAGGCGTGGGTCATTTCTGCAGCTAACACAGGAGACGTGGGACATTTCTGCAGCTAACACAGGAGACGTGGGACATTTCTGCAGCTAACACAGGAGGCGTGGGACATTTCTGCAGCTAACACAGGAGGCGTGGGACGTTTCTTCAACTAACACAGGAGACGTGGGACATTTCTGCATTAATACAGGAGGCGTGAGACATTTCTTCAACTAACACAGGAGGCGTGGGACATTTCTGCAGCTAACACAGGAGGCATGGGACATTTCATCAACTAACACAGGAGGCATGGGACATTTCTGCAGCTAACACAGGAGGCATGGGACATTTCATCAACTAACACAGGAGGCATGGGACATTTCTGCAGCTAACACAGGAGGCATGGGACATTTCATCAACTAACACAGGAGGCATGGGACATTTCATCAACTAACACAGGAGACGTGGGACATTTCTGCAGCTAACACAGGAGGCGTGGGACATTTCTGCAGCTAACACAGGAGACGTGGGACATTTCTGCAGCTAACACAGGAGACGTGGACATTTCTGCAGCTAACACAGGAGATGTGGGACATTTCTGCATTAATACAGGAGGCGTGGGACATTTCTTCAACTAACACAGGAGGCGTGGGACGTTTCTTCAACTAACACAGGAGACGTGGGACATTTCTGCAGCTAACACAGGAGGCGTGGGACATTTCTTCAACTAACACAGGAGACGTGGGACGTTTCTTCAACTAACACAGGAGACGTGGGACATTTCTGCAGCTAACACAGGAGGCGTGGGACATTTCTACAGCTAACACAGGAGGCGTGGGACATTTCTGCAGCTAACACAGGAGACGTGGGACATTTCTGCAGCTAACACAGGAGGCGTGGGACATTTCTTCAACTAACACAGGAGGCGTGGGACGTTTCTTCAACTAACACAGGAGACGTGGGACATTTCTGCAGCTAACACAGGAGGCGTGGGACATTTCTTCAACTAACACAGGAGACGTGGGACGTTTCTTCAACTAACACAGGAGACGTGGGACATTTCTGCAGCTAACACAGGAGACGTGGGACATTTCTGCAGCTAACACAGGAGACGTGGGACATTTCTGCATTAATACAGGAGGCGTGGGACATTTCTGCAGCTAACACAGGAGGCGTGGGACATTTCTGCAGCTAACACAGGAGACGTGGGACATTTCTGCAGCTAACACAGGAGACGTGGGACATTTCTGCAGCTAACACAGGAGGCGTGGGACATTTCTGCAGCTAACACAGGAGACGTGGGACATTTCTGCAGCTAACACAGGAGACGTGGGACATTTCTGCAGCTAACACAGGAGACGTGGGACATTTCTGCAGCTAACACAGGAGACGTGGGACATGTCTCAGGTTCAGGGTGCACATGCAGCTCAGAGTGACCAATCACATTTTAAACAGAACAAGTATTTCATGACGCGCAGTAGGGAGTACTGTTGACTTGCTGCAAGAAGGTTGAAGGTTCAAATCCTGGCTGCAGGCTTTCTGCGTGGAGTTGGCATGTTCTCCACATGCATGCACGAGTTTCTCCCAGAACGCCAGCCTGCATGTTCAGTTTGACTGGCAAACCTAATTTGCCCCTAGCTGTGAGTGTGACTTGCCATCTCCCTGTGATGGACTGGACACTTGTCCTGGGTGTCCCGTCTCTTACCTGATGACTGGCTGGAGCTAGAGACCAGCTCCCTTATGGAGAAGTAAGCGGCTCAGAAACAAGTGATTATATAATTCTGGCCTACCAATCAGACATAACAGGTCCCTAAATGAAAGGACCGAACCGGTCAGAGAAAGTTTTCAGCCTCCGTCCTTCAGGCAGATGATTGAGCAGCCTTAAAGCCTGGACGAGGCTGAGAAACATGACTCCCCTGAAGATTGGGCTTTTCACTGGTTTCCTAAGATTTGACTTCAAGTGTTTATGAATGGTTTTTTTGTCTCATGCTGGTCTGAGTAGACCTGACCAGAAGCTGCTGAGCTTTTAGCAGGAGTCGACGTTAAAAGAGGAGTGCATCTTGAAGGAATGGAGGCCCTTCGGCTCCATTAACCCTTGCAAATCCACTGCAGCAGAAATTGACCCTCTGATAAACTTGGGTTCAGCTGAGCAGCAAAAGAGTCAAAAGAAAAAACGTGATAACACAGATTGTGCTGCAGCAACCATTAAACTGTTGATAGCAGTAGAAAATTACAGGGAGGAAGTTTGACTTGTGTGCAAAACGTGACCCAAAACCTCAAGAAACAATAAAGATGCACCTTTTAATGAATACTGGTGTTAAAGTGTGCATACAGGTGCTGGCCAGTAAATTAGAATATCATCAAAAGGTTGAAAATATTTCAGTAATTCCATTCAAAACGTGAAACTTGTACATTATATTCATGCAATGCACACAGACCAATGTATTTCCAATGTTCATTACATTTAAATTTGATATTCATAAGTGACAACTAATGAAAACTCCAAATTTGGTATCTCAGAAAATTAGAATATTCTGAAAAGGCTGAATATAGAAGACACCTGCTGCCACTCTAATCAGCTGATTTACTCAAAACACCTGCAAAGGCCTTTAAAAGGTCCCTCAGTCTTGTTTTGAAGGCACCACAATCATGGGGAAGACTTCTGACTTAACAGCTGTCCAAAAGACAATCATTGACACCTTGCACAAGGAGGGCAAGACACAAAAGGTGATTGCTAAAGAAGCTGGCTGTTCGCAGAGCTCTGTGTCCAAGCACATTAACAGACAGGCGAAGGGACGGAAAAAATGTGGTAGAAAAAAGTGTACAAGCTCTAGGGATAACCGCACCCTGCAGAGAATTGTGACGACAAACCCATTCAAAAATGTGGGGGAGATCCACAAAGAGTGGACTGCAGCTGGAGTCAGCGCTTCAAGAACCACCACGAGGAGACTCATGAAAGACATGGGATTCAGGTGTCGCATTCCGTGTGTCAAGCCACTCTTGAACAAGAAACAGCGCAAGAAGCGTCTCGCCTGGGCCAAGGATAAAAAGGACTGGACTGATGCTGAGTGGTCCAAAGTTATGTTTTCTGATGAAAGCAAGTTCTGCATTTCCTTTGGAAATCAAGGACCCAGAGTCTGGAGGAAGAGCGGAGAAGCACAGAATCCACGTTGCATGAGGTCCAGTGTAAAGTTTCCACCGTCAGTGATGGTGTGGGGTGCCATGTCATCTGCCGGTGTTGGCCCACTCTGTTTCCTGAGGTCCAGGGTCAATGCAGCCGTCTACCAGGAAGTTTTAGAGCACTTCATGCTTCCTGCTGCTGACCAAATTTATGGGGATGCAGACTTCACCTTTCAACAGGACTTGGCACCTGCACACAGTGCCAAAACCACCAGCACCTGGTTCAAGGACCATGGTATCCCTGTCCTTGATTGGCCAGCAAACTCGCCTGACCTTAACCCCATAGAAAATCTATGGGGTATTGTGAAGCGGAGGATGCAATACGCTAGACCCAACAATGCAGAGGAGCTGAAGACGACTATCAGAGCAACCTGGGCTCTCATAACACCTGAGCAGTGCCACAGACTGATCGAGTCCATGCCACGCCGCATTACTGCAGTTATTGAGGCAAAAGGAGCCCCGACTAAGTATTGAGTGCTATACATGCACATTCTTTTCATGTTCATTCTTTTCAGTTGGCCAACATTAGAGAAACAAACATTTTTTCATTGGCCTTTAGAATATTCTAATTTTCTGAGATACCAGATTTGATGTTTTCATTGGTTGTCACCTATAAATATCAAATTTAAATGTAATGAACATTGGAAATACATTGGTCTGTGTGCATTGCATGAATATAATGTACAAGTTTCACGTTTTGAATGGAATTACTGAAATATTTTCAACCTTTTGATGATATTCTAATTTACTGGCCAGCACCTGTACTGGATTTATCTGGTATCTTTTCTTCAGAAAAGGTTCTTCAGGGTTTCAGATTAACGACGTCTTATAGCCGTAATGAAATTATGAGCCGTACAGAAATTAGAGTATCGTTCACCTTGTTGGGTTTGATGAAAGGGCTAACGGTTAAGGAGCCTTTTCACAATCCTTCTCGCTCAGTGACCTAAAGTACCCAGAACAGCTGTGGGCGCGTTTAGCAGCCCAGCCAGCCCGACAAGCCATTGCTCATCTTGATTTAAGATCTATTACATATGAAACAGGAGCGTTAGATGAAGGGTACGATGGCGAGTATGCAGGCATCGATATGTCCTTATCGTGTATTTTAGGTATTTATTTTTACGTCAAAGGAAAACCGTTCATGTTTAATCGTGTTTGCGGGAGTGGCAGTGTCGTGTCCTTGCAGCGATGGGGTTAGGGTTTGTCATAACGTAGTCCCAGGTCGAACTCAGCTCCTGTCATTCCTTCATCTTACTTTTAATATATTCAGTTATGACTAAGAAAGACAAATTAGGATCATTAGAGTCATTTCCTCACCTTTTTATAGAAAACGATAGTCGTTATCATTCACTTACATTGTGTATGATATGCTAAAGCTAACAGAATAGTGCCAGATTAGGACTGGTGAGGTTACAAAATGCTTTAATCCAACTCTGGTGAATGAACGGATGAATGTCACTTAGAGGTGGAAGATCCCTTTGATTCACAGAGACCACTTTTTACACAGTTGACACCTTCAAATATTAAACGTGACACAGAAACAAAACACGTTTAAATAATAGCCGTTTATTTCAGTACTGGTCATCTCCACTTCAACGATAAACAACGTTCAGACAAAACTGGCTAATTAATGGCAAAGTGTTACATCACAAGTCTTTCAGTCAAGCGAATGATCGGATCTAAAAAAAAAAAACGGAATAAAAATATACAAATGTGGTGTTTAAATGCAAGAATCAGACGCGCTGAGAAACATAAATTGCAGCTTTGCAACCCAGCTGTATTACGTTCTTTAGAAGCCAATATCCAGGCACCTAAAACACACACACACACACACACACACACATTAATGAATTTGATAGTTTATTAAACCAGATTTTAGAAAACACACTTACAGATTCTGCATCGTGCTCCAGTCCGGTGTCATGATGGTCCATCTCATCGTCCCGGAATTCTTTTATCACCTTTAAAATCCAAAAGGGATTTAATACTTTAGGACAAATGTAGATTACAACATTAAAAGCTGCATGTTTCACTAAATAACAACAGTTTACTAAAACATGGCTAGGATTAATAAAATGTTTCCACAGCTAATTGTGTCGCTTCATCCTGACATGTTAACATAAATTAGGGCTGCACAATATATCGTAAATATATCGTTATCGCAATATCAGCATGTACAATATATCGTTATCGCGATATTGGCATGCACGATACATCGTAAATATATCGTATTTGCATTAGGCAAAGAACAGATAAATATCACAATGAATGGTCAGCTCAAATGTTTGCTACCCATAATGCATTCTGACCTTCAATCAGAAGCATGATGTTTTTTTACCAAATCAAATAGAGCTCTTCACCAGTTTGGGTGGGTTCTCATAGGTTAGAGTCCTAGGTGGGCGGGACTTAATTTTGATGGTTAGCAAACACCGGAGTTAGCTTTGTTCTGCTGATTCTGCCTTTCCAGGGATCCACTGATCGCCTTTTTTTGCTCATTTTCTTTTTCCCTTTCCTCACAGCTTTTGCTTTTTTCGTTTTTATAATTTTTTTTATTTCTTTGTTTTTGATTATTTTTATTCCCGAGTTAAGTTTTTATTCATTGCAAGCAATATCGTCATCGCAATGTTAATCATTGTTATCGCATTTCGCAGGTTTTCCTAATATCTTGCAGCCCTAAAATAAATCTAATGGATTTATGATGCTAAAGTTAATTTATTCAGGTAAATGAGAGACCAATCTCCATTTTAAACACTTTTTTGTCAGGTCAGTCTAAAAATAAACCTTTGTCTTTTTATCTTACTTCTAAGGAAATATTGAACAATGAATGAAAAAATAAAAATTTGAGAAGTTTAACGATAACCATACCTGCCCCAAATAAACGCAGAAATGAACATTCTCAAAGAGGCCTGGAGGTTTTTTAGCACTGTCAAGATGTGATGTCTTCATTAATAATAAAACCCTACTCTGCTATAACGGTCATCGCGGCTCTGCGGATGTGTTTAGTTTGTGTTCAGGCTGTGGCAACGTGTTTAAAATCAGGGAATTCAACAGAGAAAGTTGTCGTGATTTATTAATAAAGCACGTTTTCATCCCCACTGGGAGACCTGGACTCACAAGCTTACCATCACACAGTAGAATCAACATAACAGTATGCTGTATTCAATTACATGTTTGTTTATTTGAGTCACTGTCAAAAAGCAAACAATAGCTTATTTGATATTAAAATCTGTTTAGTTCCTTCTGTTAAAGGTGCAATGTGTAAGAATTTACTGTGAAATAGTGAAATAATCACAAAACAGTCTAATACCTTAATCATGTTGGAAGGAAGGTTAGACTGAAACACATTCCTACTCAGTCGACTTGGGGTCGTCAGTTTTTGTCCTTTTAAAGAAAGTAAAGAGGGACGTGGTTACGGTGGGTTGCTACCATCGCTCCTTTGTCATCTAGAATCATCTGGCGCTGATCCGTAACTGGCAACAGCCATGAAACTCATGGAACAGGAGTGACGGTCACTGTTTATTGGGAAAATGGTCCGCAGTACCCAAATCTGGCCACAGGACGCCATGTCATTCTTACATATTGCACCTTAAATATTAAGAACCTCTTTAAAAAAATCTTGGTTTTGATTAACTATGTGTTCTGATTAAACATTCAAAAATCAATCAGATTGATATTTCATATTTATACGGATGAATTATTTTTATAACTAGAATAAAAAACTCAGATGAAAAACTAAATGAAAACGTGTGATAATGTGGATTATCTACGAAAAAGCAGCAACCTAAAATATTCTTTTTTTACTCTCTTTGGGGCAACATGTAACAAAAGGTGCAACAGAAACGTGAAAGGTTCCTGTAGCACGTTAGGCCCACCGCTCACCTGTAACAGCTCAGTGTATCGCTCTGGGTCGATCTCCATCAGAGCTCTTATCTGGCTGTTGTAGTGCTCTGAGATGCTCTCCTCCACGGCCACGGTGCACGCCATGGCGCCCTCTTTCCCCAGAAGGGCAGTGGAAGCCCCTGTAGGACATTTAAAGCCAAATGACTTAATTCATGTCACTACGGTTCATGGTTTTGTGTATTAGTCCAACTGTTTTACTGACCTAACACAAAACCAGCAATGTTCCAGAAAGGTAGCAGCGCTGTGGGGCGGACTCGGTTCTCAGCAAGAATTTCATTGAACCTGGCTAGGTGTTTCTTTTCTTGATCCCACATTTGCTATAAAAAAGATGTTGCAGACCTTAAACAGCAGGTTAAACAGGCATGTACAGTTTATTTTAAGTTTCTAAATCATAATGCAGCAACCAATCAAACAAATCTTGTCTGAAAGTGTTTCTTCTTCCCCAGGACCCCATCAGCACTCCTCTTTCCTGCTGTCTTTTCTCCCTCTCTCTGCTGCAGGTTACCTAGCGAGGTATCTAGGTCATAATGTTAGCTCCTTTATTGTTCTCTCACTTGTTTGTTTCGGTTTTCAAATTGAAATCCATCTGCATTCTGCAGAAAACTGATGACTATTCCTGCCAACTTCTGTTTTATCCTTTGTATTGTTTGCATGAATGTGGGTCTCTCTGTAGACCCCACAGGTGACCTGACATGGGTGCACCCATAAAAATATAATAGCCGGAGATAGAGCCAAACTATCCAGTTTAAAGTCTCTGCTAGATTTTATGTTGGTATCCAGTCAGTCTGATTGTGAGGCTGAAAATACTGCCTGCTCTTTTTCACACAATCATGGTGTCAGCTAAATGATAACAGATACCAAATATGTTTAAACGTGCAACAGGAGGAAGAAATCAACACAAGTCCAGACCTAGGGAAAAGTAACTGAAGTTCCTTTTAATTTTCTGTTAGTGAAAATGACTTGTTAACTTGGGTTAGGCGGTGAGACTCGTACATCACAGTGGCTAAAACATCCTCGTGTAGTCCTGGGTGATGGCTGTAGCCTCCAGCAGGATTAAAGAAAACGTACAGATGATATTTATCCTAGTCCTGATTCTTTTCATTGATTTGGGACTAAAATATCTGAGGTTTCTAAAGGCGGGAATATACAAAAACAACGGCTGTGCGATCTGGGGGTATTTGTTCATCCTTAACATCTTTTCATTGTTTAGACTTTTTTCATTCTGTTCCATACCTGGATGAGGGGTCCGGTCCTTGATCGACTCAACACTGCCATCTGGCCGGCGTAGATCCGATTAGCGCCATATTCACCTGCGTGGTCCACCCGCAGCATCCGGTGCAACAGCTCCTTCTCCTCTTCGTTCTGCGGCGGCGGAACAACGCTGTAGGCTCTACAGCTGTGCTGGAGGAGCGCTACACCAGCAAAACAAACAAACCCCCACAGGTTAAGCTAGTTATGGGTTCTTCTTAGCCAGAAAACAACCCAAAAGCTTCTAAATCACCTAAAACAAGCTTCCCAATTACCATGTTCTGTTTTCATATACTTAAGGAACAGAAAACGTTCAACTACGTAAGTAATCGTACAACAAAACTTACTCTTACATCGTTGGACATGCTGGGTAAGTGTTTGTAGCATTAGCATCTTTAGCTCAAAGCCTCATAAACAAACCGCTTACCTCTGCTTTTAAAGCTCTGATGAGTCACCAACGGGTTCACGACTCCAGAAAAATCACAAAAAACGGCGCGAGCAGCTCTCTGCATGGTGGTTAATAAACTTAACTACCAGCGGTAGTTAAAAAGAAAAAGTAGAAACACTAGAGCGAACTGACATTGAACGAGAGTGGTTGTGAGCGGCGCATATTTATGACGCACGCTCACGCGCACCTCCCTCTGTAAAACTATGTGTGGCAAGCCGTTGTAACATATAATCAAATCCACTCTCCCCACCGTTTCCTTTTAATGTCATTTTAGGAATTACATTCATTTTCACTCCTTATTTCTCAGCATTAATTGAGGAGAATAAGCATAATCCTAAATTTCTTTTCAGTACAGTTGCTAAACTTACACTGAATCATAGCTCTGAGCCATCTATTCCCTTAGCCCTCAGCAGCAATGACTTCATGGGATTTTTTATACAAGTAAAATTAATTCTATTAGAAACAAAATCTTTAGCATCCTCCCTAATGCGATTTCTTCTTCCTCAGTAAGTGAGGCAGCATCAGAGGTGACTGTAGAACCTCATCTGTGCTTGAACCGTTTTGAGTTGAGCTTTCAGATTTATCAAAAATATTAGCTTCATCTAAACCTTCAACTTGCATTTTGGATCCAATCCCAACCAAATTATTTAAAGAAGCATTTCCTTTGGTCACTGCCCCCATTCTAGATATAATCAATCTATCCTTAGTAAATGGACATGTACCACAGGATTTTAAGGTTGCTGTAATCAAACCTTCACTTCAATTAAATTCAATTCAATTCAAAAATACTTTATTAATCCCAGAGGGAAATTGATTTAATCCCAGAGGGAAATTGATTAAGAAGCCTTCTCTGGATCCAGATGACCCAATGAATTATAGACCAATATCTAACCTTCCATTTTTATCCAAAGTCCTGGAGAAAATAGTATGTGAGCATTTAAACACTAATGCTCTGTTTGAGGAATTTCAGTCTGGTTTTAGAGAGTATCACAGCACTGAAACTGAATCAAGACCATGAACTCAGATTTATTTTTATTTAGTTTTATTTTTACGAAGCCTTGTCATGCAAGACCGTGTAAATCTTCCCAAAATTGAAAAGTGAGCACAGACTATGAGACAGCTGTAAATGAAAAATATAAACAAATAACAGCTGAACTTCTTAGATTATTATCATTGTTGTTGTTTATTTTCTTTGGAAAAAATGTCATCTAAATTAAAGTTAAAATTCCTATTTTGAGAAGAGATCCTGTTTTGTGTTTAATAAGCAGCAGAACACATATAATATTTACACTCGGTTCCTTCAGAATTCCCTGCAGAAAATCTAACTGACTGTTTCCACTGCAGCCAAGGAGGTGAACAGCGTTAGCATCCGGCACAAAGACACAAACACATCCACGGCTCGGAGCTAATTTAGAGCTCACAGAGTTCACTTGGCCAACACAACTGCCCCGTGGGAGGAAAACAAGTATTTAAAGAAATCAAGTAAATTGAGAAAATTGCCTTTTGGCTGGACACTCTTTGTTATTTTGTGCTAAACAAATTACCATGGTTTATTTTATTCAGACTTATTATATAAGAAGTAATTAAGGAAAAAAAAGGAAGACTTGAAAAACAGACTTTTGTGGAGAAGTGAGTTGCTTTGGGGGCTGCAGATGGCAGTGTTGCACAGCAGGAAGTTTATCCTGCAAGCTGATCCCAGAATTCAGGATCATTTTTGTTGCACTCAACCCGGCTTATAAAATCAAACCATCCAAAGTGTAATCCTAATATGTTTTAATCAGAACCGGACCTCTTCAGAGGAGCTCTGGTCATGTCCGACTCTGAATACATTTGATTTCTAACAACAGACAAACATTTGCAAAACGTGTGAGGAATGTGTGAAAATATCAGGTTGAACTATGATGGCCCTGAGTAAACAAGAGTGGACTGTGAAGTGCAGGGTGTGTGTGTGTGTGCGTGTGTGTGTGTGTGTGAGAGAGAGAGAGAGAGAGAGAGAGAGAGAGAGAGAGAGAGAGAAAATGAACTAATAGCATGTGAATGAACATCTCAGGGGTCCCTATCCTTTCCTGGTGCATTGATGGTTCTGACAGGCACATTTTCCATTTGACCTCCTCTGACCTGCTGTTGTCGACCTGCCTGCTGGTTTTGTGCACAAACCCACAGGGGCGTGTCCAGGGAGTGGCCTGGGGTAGCACATGCCACCCTTAGATTCTGATTGGCCACCCCAGGTGCCACCACACTAATTTACCTTTAAATAGGCTTTTCATTGTCCACATAAAGCTTGGGGCTAAAGCAAAAAATAAAAGCATAACCATTGGTGCCACCCATGCACAAAGTTGTTAGCCTAGTGAACCAGACCAAATTCTTGCTTTGCAAAGTTTGGTCTAGGCATGCTCCATTGGAACCTCCGCAGCTCCTACCAGGACTCTGGCTAGCCAATCACGGCTCTCTAGAGGGGTTTCAAACACATAAAGAGCTGTGATTGGTCCATAATGGTGGGCCAATCATAGTGCTCTATCTGCTTAGTGAACAAATCACAGACCTTTATCCGCTTTGTGGGCCAATCAGGGCACTCTATATGCCTGGTGGGTGGGATGATGCAACAGAGTGAAACAAGAGTATGTCACATTCATTGTCCAGTGGAATGTGGAGATCATTTGAAAGACAACGGTAGAACCCGCCCCACAACCGAGAGCCGTCAATGGAGCATGGCCAGACTAAATAATACATTTATTTAGTCTGGCTTGCCAGGCTACAAAGTTGTGCCTCACCTGGGGCACCCCATTTTAAAAGATCTGGACACGCCACTGCAGACCCATACTGCTCACATCCACACCCTCCATCCCAGGTTTTGCTCCTACTGACAGCAGCTGCTGCACAAAATGCTGTTCTACAATCTACAACGTCCCTAATGAGCTGAAGCACATTTGTTTGTCACTGTAAGAAAAAACAACAAACGAGACACATTTTATGTTGATTGCAGCTATAGCAGCGTGTAGTTGTATGTCAGGGTTTTCTTGCTCCATGTTCTCATGGCACTCACCAGCATTTTCTCAGTGATCTCTTTCTCAAAGTTTGAATTTTACATCTGGTCCTTATTCTGTAGTCAGCTTCCAGTAGGTCAGCTCCTCAATCACGGGGCTCGGTTCAGTTTCAGTCTTCTATCCTTGAAATTTGGCTTTTGTTGTTTTACCTGACTGCATATTGGGTCCTACTAAAAACATCTACATCTCTAGTTATTTGTTGTCAGTACCGGGTCCAAAGACGTGAGGAGTTTTGACGTAAAAGTCAAGTCAAGTATTCTTTATTCCGGACTCTTGGTCCAATTCACAGAAGTAGAAAACATTGTACAGATAAGATTAAATGAGATTAGCACAATCTGACACGCTAAAGCACACGAGACAAATAATCATGAAAAACACAAACAGGAGACAATAAAAACAGTGGTGT